ATCCCAGCTATGGGTTTCTGACGCAGGCACGGAACCACCTGTTTTTCACAGCAAGAGGCTAAATCCATGTTTACAGGAATCCTCTCTGTAAAGTATAAGATCCTGCAGAGAAGTAGCGTCTAGTCTATTGGTTTAAATGTCTGAGGCTGCCGAACTTGCATTTGGTTCCAGTTTCGGCTGAGGCCCAGCAGGCAAAGCTGTGTGTTGATGACCCTGGGGGAAACACAGTGATAGCAGAGAGTACCTCCTGTGAGGAAGTGAAAGGGGATCCTGCTCCTGATAGAACCTGTGGTATGTGTACGTGGCCTCATCAAAAGGAGGAAGTACCCTGGTACCTGTGCCTCAGCCTCTTAATTAGCTGGGATTTCCTGTGGGCACCACCATGCCTGGCTACTGTTCGTGTTTGATGTAGAGGCGGGGTTTCTCCATGTTGGCCAGGCTGATCTCGAACTCCTGAGGTCAAGGGATCTGCCCTCCCAGACCTTTTAAAGTGCCGGGATTCCAGGCATGAGCTACCATGCCGGCTCCGCAGATTTTTTTTTTTAAGTAGATGTTGTTAAAATACATCCGTCAGTCCAGTCTCTTTTATACATTTTTTTAACCCTTCGTTTTCATGATACAGGATGGGGTAGATCAGTATTGCAGTAACCTTTCTGGAACGCAGTCTGGGGAAGTTTTGAAGATTTTGGGGTAAAAGTTTTAATCATTTGTACTGACTTAAGTCAGAGGATATGGGATCTAGATGTACAGGATGAGACAGATTTTTTCTTATGGATCTTAAAAGCAGGCTCATCTGCTTCTGAGGGAACCCAATCTAGGGCGTCTTTAGAACATTCCCATCATAGTATCGCATTGTTTCATAGAGAATATTTTACGTTTTTTTGCTATGACAGGTCACTGATTAATTCTAGTTCAAAGTGAGAATTGCTGAATGTGACCTGCTCTTCTGAATTTTTTCTACAGATGATAAACAAGAGTATAATGTAAAACGGAAATACAGAGACAGCAAAAGTAAACATTTTACGAGTCAAGCGTCCTTCTGCCTGGGCTCTCGGTTGAAGACAGAAGGTAAGTTCTATAGTTTCACCATAACGGAAGTGCTGCACAATGTCCTGTTTTGTCTCTGACAAATGATGCACTCTCTTCTTCAAAGTTAATTTCATCCTTCCGAAGCTTCTAGGAAAATAGCAAGGATTATTTTAACATTTTGTTAAATCTGGAAGTCATGGCCAAGGTATTTAGCAACTCTTCCATGTCTGCAGTAAGGTGGTTTGGGACTAGGGTCAATATCACAGCTAATGATTTCTGACACAGGCACAGAACCACCTGTGTTTCTCAGCAAGAAACTAAATCATGTGTACAGGAATCCTTTCTAATATATAGGATCCTGAAGAATTTATCAGCAAGATAAAGGTAGAAATGTGTATTTCCTGGTTTCAGGGTGAATGAATAGCTAAGACACGTTAACCTAAAGGAGATCAAGAGTAAAGATGAGAAGAGTCAAGGCAGGGAAACAACATGTCCAATAGGCAAGGCTGTCAGTGACATCACTCAGTCCTGATTAAACCAATTTAACGTCACAGGTTTCTAACCCATCATGTGTTTGGGTTTGTTCTTTTTAGTCCCTGGCTTTCTGTGTTCTGCCCCAAACGTCCACATGGTGGCGTCTGGCGGGCCTTTCAGAATAAACCCAGAGGTGAACGTTCCAGAAGGCATTGAGAAATCCGGCTCACAACAGGAAGAAAACAAACCAAATGTCGGAGCCAGCAAAAACAGACTTCTTCTGAGCCAGGTGGCCTACTTCCAGAACTACCAGATGAAGACAGACAGTAGGTTCTATAGGTTGACCACCACGAAAATGATCAATGATGTCCTGTGTTGTTTTGAGAAACTGACAGTTCTTTTCATCAAAATTTATTTCATCCTTCCCATACTTGTAAAAAATAGAAGTGGGTATTTTAACATTGTTGTTAAAGATGGAAGACGGAAACCGAAGTACTTAGCTACTTTTCCACAGCTGCAGTAAGATGGGTGTGGGACTGGGGTCACAATCCAGGCTATCAGTGTCTGACACAGGTACAGAACCGCCTGTTTTTCTCAGCAAGAGACCGAATTCATGTTTACAGGAATCCTCTCTGTACAGTATAAATTCCTGCAGACAAGTAGCATCTAGCTTGTTGATCAAAATGTCTGAGGCTACTGAACTTTTATTTGGTTCTGGTTTTTTGAGGCTTAGTAGGCAAAGCTGTGTTTTTCGGACCCTGTGGGAAATGTGGTGATAGCACACAGTTCCTCCTGTGAAGAGGTCGAAGGGGCTCTGCTTCTAATAGAACCTGTGTTATGTGTAGGTGGCACCAGCAAGAGCAGGAAGTACCCTTATAATGGTTCCTCAGCCTCCCAGTTAGCTGGGATCCCTGGTGGGCACCACCGAAAATGGCTAAGTTTTGTATTGTTAGTAGAGGTGGGGTTTCACCATGTTAGCCAGGCTGGTCTTGAACTCCTGAGGTCAAGTGATCTGCATTCCTGGGCGTCCTAAAATGCTGAGATTCCAGGTGTGAGACACCAGGCTGGCTCCATGGATTCTTTTTTAAGTAAAGGTTTTTAGAATTTGTCCATCGGTCCAGTCTTTTATATAAATTTCTCTAACCATTCATTGGCCACGATATATGAGGAGCTAGATCAGTATTGCAGCAATGCTTCTGGAAAGCAGTAAGGGCAAATTTGGAAGATTTGGGAGAAAAGTTTTAATCATTTGCACTGACTTAAGTCAGAGGATACATGATTAAGATGTACCAGATGAGGGAGATTTTGTCTTATGCATCTGAAAAGCAGGCTCATATACTACTGAGGCAACCTAATCTAGGGCCTGTTAGAACATTCCTGTCAGAATATCACGTTCTTACACTGAGAATATTTTATGTCTTTGTGCTATGACAGGACACTGATTTGGTCTTGTGTGAAGTGCGATTTCCTTAATGTGACCTTCTTTTCTGAATTTATTTACAGAAGATCGAAAAGGTCACGACGAAGAACAGAAATACAGAGACAGGAAAAATAAACTTATGAGTCAAGTTGCCTACTACCTGGGCTGCCGGCATAAGACGGAAGGTAAGTTCTGTATGTTCAGCATCACGGAAGTGGTCAACAGTGTTTTTTCTTTTCTCTGAGGAATTATACACTCTCTTCTTCAAAGTTAATTTCATCCTCATAATTTTAGGAAAATAGCAATGAGTATTTTAACATTTTGTTAAAGACGTAACACAGAGGCGAAACTATTTAGCAACTTTTGCACATCTGTAGTAAGACATGTGTGAGACTGGGGTTAACATCCCAGCTATTGATTTTTAACACAGGCACCAAACCACCTGCTTTTCTCTGCAAGAGGCTAAATCATGTTTATAGGAATCTTCTGCATACCATATAAGATCCTTCAGAACTTATAAGAAGAAAGAGGTAGAAATGTTTATGTACTGGCTTCAATTTGAGTACCTAAGACAACTTGACTTTAAGGAGATCAAGAGTGGAGATGAGAAGAGTAATTCGGGGAAATAACATCTTCAAATCAGTAGGCAAGGCTGTCAGTGTCATCCCTCAGTCCTGATTGAACTAATTTGATGTCACCAGATTCTAACCCACCATGTGTTTGTGTTTCTTCTCCCCAGTCCCTGGCTTTCTGTTATCTGCTTCAAACATCAGCAAGGTGGCATCTGGCCGGCCTCCTTACAGAAAATACACAGAGGTGAACGTTCCAGAAAGCATTGAGAAATCCTGCTCCCAGCAAGAAAATAACAAACCGAATGTCCGAGTCAGCAAAAATAGATGTCTTCTGAGTGAGGCGAACTACTCCCTGAACTGCCGGCTGAAGACCTACAGTAAGTTCTATTGTATGGATGAGTAAGTACTGACCCATTGGTTCAGTCTCCTATATAAATTTCTCTAACCATTCCTTGACCATGATATAATGAGATAGATCAGTATTGCAGCAACCCTTCTGGAAAGTAGGGCAAGTTTTGAAGATTTTGGGAAAAAAGTTTTAATTGTTTTCACTGACTTAAGTCTTAGGATATGGGATTGATTTCTACAAGATGAGACAGATTTTGTCCCGTGGATCTGAAAAGCAGGCTCATCTGCTTCTGAGGCAACTTAATCTCGGGCCCGTTAGAACATTCCCATCATAATATCTCATTCTTCCACTGAGAATATTTTATGTTCTTCTGCTATGACAGGACACTGATTTGGTCTTGTGTGAAGTGAGATTTGCTGAATGTGACCTGCTTTTCTGAATTTGTTTACAGATGATCAAAAAGATCATGATGAAGAACAGAAATGCAGAGACAGCAAAAATAAACATCTTAGGAGTCAAGCGGCCTACTACCTGGACTGCCGGCTGAAGACGGAAGGTAAGTTCTATTCATTCACTATCACGGAAGTGCTTAACGATATCCTGTCTTTTCTCTGAGAAACTGAACACTCTGTTCGTCAGAATTTATTTATTTGTTTTCATACTTTAAGCAAATGTAAATTTGTATCTTAACATATTGTTACAAGCGGATGAGAGAGGCCAAAGTATGTAGCCACTTTTCTACATCTGCAGTAAGGTGGGTGTCGGACTCCGTAACATCTCAGCTATGATTCCTGACACAAGCACAGAACCACCTGTTTTTCTCAGCAATAGGCTTAATCATGTTGACAGGAATTCTCTCTGTACCACATGAGATCCTGCAGACAAGTAGCATCCAGTCTGTTGGTCTAAATGTCTGAGGCTCGTGAACTGCCATTCAGTGCAGGTTTCTGCTGAGGTCCAGTAGGCAAAGCTCTGCTCTCGGGTCCTGGGGGCAATGCGGTAATAATACACAGAACCCGCTGTGGGGAGCTTAAAGAGGACTCTGCCCTTCCATAATCTGATGAAAGGTGGTCTTTGGAACAAGAGGCAGCATCTTTCCAGGTGTAAAGGACAGGAAGGAAGCTGTGACAGGAGAGGGGTTGTTGGAGTGGAATGATCTCTGGATTGAGAATGAAGGTTCCCAGGCTGTATCTTCAGTAGTGTCTTTAGTAACTGTCACTGAGCACTTGATTTCTCTCCTTCCTTCCTTTCTGTCTCTCCATCTGCAAAGTCAGGCAAATTTCTCTCTCCATCTGCAAAGGCAGACATCTTGCAGTGTCTGAGGCATTCAAATGTGCGAACATTTATGACCGCTTATCAAAATGAGGTAAAGCCCCTCGCTTTGTGATGTTGGGACCGCAGGTGCCCATCAGCACACCAAGTGAACTTTTTATTTTTAGTAGAGACGAGGTTTCACCATATCGGCCAGGCTAGTCTTGAACTCCTGACCTTAAATTTTTCACCTACTTTGTCCTTTCAAATCATAGGTTTTGTTTTGTTTTGGAGGTGGAGTCTCTCTCTTAATCAGGCTGGGGTTCAGTTGCATGATCTCAGGTCACTATAAACTCTGCCTCCCGGGTTCAGACGATTCTGCTGCCTCAGCCTCTTGAGTAGCTAAGAGTGTAGGCACGTGCCACCACGCCCAGCTAATTTCTTTGTATTTTTAGTAGAGACAGGCTTTCACCGTATTAGCCAGGATGGTCCCGATCTCCTGAGCTCTTGAAGTGCTCACCTCGGCCTTTCAGAGTGCTGGGATTACAGGCGTGAGCCACCATGCCCAGCCCAGAGATTGTTTTTTGTTTGTTTTTGCTTTTGTTTTGTCTTTTTTCATTCCTTCTCCCTAGAGACTGTCAAAAGTTGTCAATGCCGACTCTATTACATGTCATCTCGGCGGGGTATTGGGATTGTTTTCAATTAGCGATAATCTCATCTCAGATAAACCCCATTGGCTATGATACTGCCACTGTGCAAAGCTTACAGATTCTATTTGCAGCAAGTGTTGTTAGAATTTACATATCCATCTCGTTTCATGTATAGATGCTTCTGACCATTCAATGACCTTGCTCCCTGGTGAGATGAGTCAGTATTACAGCAACACTCCCAGGAAAGAGTTTGACTTATTTTTGGAGATTTTCTGGGAAAAAATTTGGTTTAAATTTGCATAGACTCAGGGAGAGAATATGGCATTATGGCCTACCCATACAGGGAGCTTTTGGCCTGTGCATCTGGAAAGCAGGCTCATCTACTCACCAGGCTTCATCTAGGGCACCCTAGAATCTTCCTATCGGAATTTATATTCTTGCCCTGAGAACATTTCTGTGCCTGTGCTATAACTAAACACTGATTTGGTCATATGTGAAGTGTGATTTGCTTAATGTGACCTGCTTCTCTGAATTTATTTACAGAAAGTCAAGGTGATGTTGAGGAAGAGGAGGAGAAAGGGCCAGTGCCTCCCAGGTAATGCTGTGGAGCTGTGGGCTGTTAGTTCCATAGTGACACCTGGAGACTGCAGATCCAGGAAAAGGAGAAAATGATGACTAGAACTCTGCCTTCCATTCACCCAGCTACAGATTGTCCTCATTGACAATGCTGTGGGTGATGTGTGACACTTGTATAGGTTTTAATTTCTTAGTCCTCCCAAGATAGGGACCTGCAATCTGCTGAGCCAGGTGAACTCAGCAAACAGGGATTTTTTTGGTTTCCCCTGTTCTCTCCCATGGGTTTAATTCCAGGGAGAGACGCGGATATGCTTTCTACCCATTTGTTGTTAGCATGTTTGCTAGGATTTGTGAAGAGAAGAAATTCAAAAAATATACATATGCTATCAAAATACTGGAAAAGGGAGGCCCTTAGTACAGAAGATCTGGGTGTCTGAAATGCCTCAGGAGCTCTGTTCACTTGAATGCTGCATGTAAAATTCAACACAACTTACGCGAGGTAGTTGAATCCCCTGTGTTAGTGCTCAGTGTTGCAGTTCATGATGGTAGTTTCCAGGGAGTCTGGGTGGCCTGCAGTGGCTCATCTGTGGCAAATGCACTGAGCACCTGCTGCTCATTTGTGCTGTGTCCCCAGGGTAGTCACCCTTCACCCTGCATTTAGAAGGATAGTTTTTTTTTCTCTTGAAGGAAAAATGCCTTTGCTTTCTGTGACCACTCATTGTGACTTCCATCAGATCAGCTGGGGGACTTTGTTGTCTAATCTCTGTTGGTTTAATCTGTCGTCCTGTCCTGCCTGGCTCATCAGGAATCTGCAGGAGTCTGTGGAGGAGGAAGCCCCCCAGGAGTCCTGGGATGAAGGTGATTCGACTCTCTCAGTTCCTCCTGGCCCATCTGCCTTCAATGAGACTTTGAGGAGCAACTTGCACTCATTAGAGGAGCAGCAAGTCATCTCGGCTGTTGACATAGACAGTGAGTGACTCCATTGTGAAGGCACTAAAGCTCCATTTTGTGTCCCAGATAGACCCCTTAGTCTTTGGGCATTGCTCCCCTAGCCGGGCTGAGAGTTGTCATCACTGTGGGCTGAGCCTGTACGTGAGTATAGATTTCAGTCACTCTGGATTCCAGTCTGAAGCACCGGCATGGGGTGGGACAGTGAGCTTTGCCCTGTCTCTAGTCTCAAGCCATGCCCGTCACACCCTGGACCGACTGTCAGGACATTGAAACTTAAGGCAGGTGTTGCACACTCACGCCAAGCTCTGCAGCACATGCCCACAAGTTGTCTGTCAATCTGAATTAAATGTCTCTTGCCAGCTACCAAGTTCCTCATGAGTTTTGTTCCCCAAGCATGTCTGTGAGGTTCTTCCCTGTTTGTACAAACTTGGTGAAACTGTTTGTAGAAACTTGGGATAAAAGGATAATGGTCTACCAGAATAGGGACATTTCATCATTGGTCTGAGACAGGAACCAAGAAATCTCTCTCATGATTGGCCTTCAGACATCCTGAAGTCTGTCTCTCACATTATCCTGCTCTCATGTTGAGGAGCCTGAGGTCCCTGTGCAGGGATTAGACAGTGGATGGTTATGGGTGTAGAAGAATTGGCTTATTTTATCTGTCCCTGTCTGCATTTATTGCAGAGATTAAAAATGACCAAGAAGAAGAAGAAGACCAAGGCCCACCATGCCCCAGGTAACTTTGAGCAATTATCAACAGCTAATTTTGTGTTGACACCTGGAGACACCAGGTCCAGGGAAAAGAGTGGGCTGACAATATCGATACCATGTTTTCAATGAAGCCTGAATGATTTCTACTAACATTGCTGTTGGTTTTCATTGTGGTAGATACTTAGGTTTCCATTTCTCCCTCCCCTTATCATTTACTAACTACTGTAGGTTGACCATACTTGTTTTTATGATCAGCGTATGCTGTGTGTCCTGAGGGTACTCACTCAGAGTGTCCTTTTACTCCCTCATCAGTGTGTCACCTGGATGGATCACTGAGCTTACTTTCCCTCTCTCTTTGATTCTTTTTTACCCTACTCCTGCCCATCCCGACATAAAGCAATAATTTGTTATGTCATTAATGGATCTATGTTTTTTCTTTATTAACCACTTTCTTGTGCTCCCCATGAAATCTAGTTGGGGCTCTGCGGTGTCTTATTTTCCCTGACTTATTCTTTGGTTTTTCCTCCTTTTCTAGGCTCAGCATGGAGCTGGTGGAAGCAGAAGAACCTGAAGTCTTCCGGTCCTCACTGGATGTATTGTATTCAACTTATGCAGCTTATCCTGAGTTTTATTTCACATGCCAGGCTTACACATATGTTACTTTTTTATTTGTGGAAGAGCGTGTTCGCTTGACTTTGGACATGGACAGTAGGTTTCTTACTATGACGGTGACAAGACTCCTCCCCCTGGTCTCCCGGGTAGGGGTCATATTTCCACACTAAGACAACGTGTCACGTGGGACTCTGCCAGTGCAGAGTATGAACACCACCATGTTCTTGCTGAAACACTTAGCCTGAGTTCCATAGCCTGAGGTAATCTCCAGACAGCTTCAGAATGTAGAGCAGTGAGCAGCACAAGTGACCTTTCTCCTTCAGAAAGCCCATGTCACCACAAATCACACAACTAAAAGGAGAAGAGACATTTTGGGTTGAAAAGAGTAAAAAGATAATGTAGCTACATTTCTTTAGTTCTTTTGAACCCAAAGTGTCTCCTCACCTTTTGTTGTTGTCATTGATGGTGGTGACATGGGCTTGTTTGTAGAGGACAGGTCAGCTGTCTGACTCAAAGCTCTACACTCTGAAGTTGTCTGAAAATGTCCTCATGATTAAATTCAGGATAAGTGTTTTCCCGGGACACTGCAGGGTCAATGCTACCTCACCCATCTGCAGGCAGAGAAGGTCCCGTGTATCTCCCACCGTGATTGTGATACCAGGACTGTTCCACCATTTGTGTTCCACCATGATCGTGATACCAGGACTGTTCCACCATTTGTCTACCATCATGATCCTGATACCAGGACTGTTCCACCATTTGTGTTCCACCATGATCGTGATACCAGGACTGTTCCACCATTTGTCTCCCACCATGATCGTGATACCAGGACTGTTAAACCATTTGTCTGCCGCCATGATTGTGACACCAGGACTGTTCCACGATTTGTCTACCACCATGTTCGTGGTACCAGGACTGTTCCACCATTTGTCTATAACCATGATTGTGATACCAGGAAATGACTGTTTGTCTATTACCATGATCGTGATACCAGGACTGTTCCACCATCTGTCTACCACCATGATTGGGGTACCAAGACTGTGTTACCTTTTATCTACCATTATGATTGTCATACCAGGACTCTTCCACCATTTGTCTATCATCATGATCGTGATACCAAAACTCTTCCACCATTTGTCTACCATCATGATCGTGATACCAGGACCGTTTCACTATTTGTCTATCACCATTATCGTGATGCCAGATCTGTACCTTTCAGAGACAGCTTATTTATACCGAAGTAATTGGAAAAATGGTTTTTTAAAAGTATTAATATGCTGTGTTCAAATGACCATTCCCTAAACAGTTTCTTCATTAATCATCCCCGGTGGTGTCAATTATTATATTTATATCTCTCTACTGGAAATTTTCAATTTTTCCTGTATCTTTGCTTTTCCTAGTTGTCTGTTGTTGGAAAAAAAATTTCCTGCCTGCATTTTAATTTTTGCCAAAGTTAATTTTAATTTATACTATTAAAATTTTTTCTCTTAAGACTGTCAGCACATAAGGCCACAGCAAAACAGAATTCACTGATTTTGAAGCCTTTGTTGATTTGTTGCTGACAAGAGACATAGTTTTCTTAGTTAGCTGGTAATATCTATTTAAGTGAGCAGCCAGGGAAATGTCTATCAGGCTAAGGACATGCAAAGCCCAGGCCATTCTCTTTGAGTCTTTTAAACTATTTCAAAAGAGAAGAGAATAGGTAGATTCCACATATGTGGACAGGAAGGAGAATACACTAAAAGCAACAGACAACTATTTCCCAAAACAGAATTGAAAATTAGATTTAAATAAACATACAGCATTAAAATTCATTAAACATTTTCTCATGAAATGTAATCTCTCTAAACTTACCTGTTATATGAAAGTCAGTTCTTAATATTCCACACTGCATTGACTGTTGACATTCATAAGAACATATTTCAAGTTTATTATTTGAAAATGCAAATGGACTGTAATTTTTTTGCAGCAATCTTTTTAAGATTGAAGATTTTATTCAAAATAAAACCAGAGATTTTAAAGATTGAAAATGACATTAAAATTTATCTTCTCAAAATAATGATGTTTAACTCTGTGTATCTTACTCCTGTTTATAGTGTAACTGTCAAGTGATCATTTAACCATTCTTTAAATATTTCAAATTACTGGGGACATGTACATACACATAATAAAGCAATGCCTACTCGGTGAGGGGCTGCCTTGTGAGCAACCCCAAGGGCCCTGGCTCATGAAGCCCTTGGCTAGAAAGGTGGAGGGATCAGCCAGGTGGGCACACAGCAGGTTTCTTGTTTTCTTCTGGCAAACACACACACAAATATCAGCACCTGCTCACTGGAGTCTCTGGCAACCCTGACCAGGCTTCATGATGGGTGAGGTGGGCTAGAAATGGGAAAGTGGATGACCCCAGACCTAGAGACTGCCGCTGTCACCTGGGCACCTGGAATGTGTGTGGAGGAGTCTCCCACAGATTTGGACCTGGATCAATGCCCAAACATGCACAAGGACAGGACTCTTGGCCTGGATGTTTGCAGAGCTCCAAGTCTTCTAAAGAGGCTGGTGGTGGGGAGGAAGGTTCAACAAAACAGCAGAGTTATGGGTACTCGAGCTTGGCAACAGAGAATACCTCCCTGTACTACTAAATGACAGTATCTGACGATGATGAATGACACTTGAGCAGCAGCTTTCACTGTTTCACAAGCAGTGTCTCTGGACCACTAGGTTGGTGCTGTCAGATGTTGACTGAAACAGTTGTTCAAGCCCATCCAGTCACAATGTTTCTAGTGGACATGACCTTCCATCTGAAGAGTCTCTTCCTTGGACCAAATATATCTTAAAACTTCTCTTCAGGCCGGGTGCTGTGGCTCACGCCTGCAATCCTAGCACTTTGGGAGGCCAAGGTGGGTGGATCACCTGAGGTCAGGAGTTTGAGACCAGCCTGGCCATCATGGTGAAACCCCATCTTATATAAACACACACACAGACACACACACACTTCTTGTCTCTTGTCTATTTTCCAACGTGTCTCTGTTGCTTGGGGCAAAAAAACTCCATTTTTAATCTCCCCCCAACATCTTCCCTGACTTACCTTGGTGTTTAGGGTTTTGAGTTTGTTTCCTCAGCTGCTCATATTTGGAACACTGGAAATTTCTAAAATGGAGAATGACAGAACCTGAGTCACCCCTCTGGTGAAGCCACAGACTCTGGGGGAGAAATCTAATCTGCCAGGGTTTGAAGTTAAACACGTGAATTTTCTGTGCCTCCATTTCTATATGTCAAATGCATTAAACCAGAATACTCAGGTTGCCCAATGTTTACATGAGCTGTGCAGGAAAAGCGTGGAGCCCAATGCCTGTCACATAGTAATTGTTCAATACACATGAGCTCCTATCAGCGCCATTGCCTCCAGCATTTCCACAAGGCTTTGATCTTTTAAACATCCTTCTTGATACAAGTGGATCATTCTTCAAATTTTCTCTGATGGCCGTGAAATTGCTCCAATGTGTATTATTACAAACACAGCTGCAGGGATCAGACTGACACATACATCTGTCGTGCCTCCCCTGTCTACTTCTGCGCAGATACCTGGAAATGGAATGGCCAGATCAAGGTATTTATACATTTCAGATTTTGCTAATTTCTGCCCAAATTACTGTGGAAAGACGATATAACAAGTCACATTGTTAACATTTTGTGAGAATACTTTCTATCTCCTTCTTCTGGCCAAAACTGGGTAGTATTGCCTACCATTTCCTCTGAGCTTCCTTTGCCAACATTTCTGTAGTCGTTCGGTGGGGACACGTGTTATGCATGACATCAAACTCAAATCCTTAAAGGAAAAGAGGGATTAACATGACTGTACAAATTTATATTCAAAATACGATGAATAGAAATATATATGTGGATGTAAATATAGACACAAAATATATGGCAAAATATTTTTTATTTAGGATACTTCATCAGAGTTATATATACTTCAAAATTTGTTTAGTAAAACAGCAGGCCCCATGTGTACATAATTATTTAGCTCCTTATCTCTGAATAGCTATTATTAGTCTTTGCTTTCTGAGGTTAGGCCCTATCTCTCCTTCAAATACTCGCTCATCACCACCACCCCCAAACATGCCTCTCAACACCTCACCCTCTAACATGTTCGTGTCCTGGTTTGCTGAGTCAATTACTACATTATTATAACTTGTACATTTTATTCAGAGCTCAGTCACATTGGATATACACAGCAGGAATGAAGGACCAGTATCTTCCGGGTCTCTCTCTCAAGTGGATGAGCTTCAGAGATTCATGTAGTCTTTGGCCACCCTGCCTGTCTTTTATTCCAGGTAAGTACTGGATATGATGGCCTAGCTCAGATCAGGCACTCTCTCCGTGAGCAGGGGAGGGCGGGACATCTTCATGTGCAGTAGCAGAAAGACACTGTCCAAAGAGGGAGAGGCAGTTCTAAAAAGAAAGGTCAGTCTGGGGCATGGGCAGGCAAACCGAGGATGTGAAGAAAACTGTCTGCGCTGTGAGGGGAACATGCAGTAGAGGATGGATTCAGAGTGGGAGGAAAAGAGTTTTTGGAAATATGGGCCGTGAATATTCCTGTGTGAGCTGGAGCCACACGAGACTGTTAGGTACTTACAGGGAGCTTAGGAAAATCTGCACTCCCCAACCTGGGAGACAGGTGAGGGGAATGTCCTGGTCACCAGACAGAGATAGGGTCTGGGCCAGGCAGTTCTGATGGGAAAGAAATGACAGGACATCTTCTCCTTAAGGTAAGGTCCTGAGTTCAGGTCTTGGTAGCTAGGGAGGCTTCCTTGGGCATTGGCAGCTGCAGATAGTTGGCCAGATGAGGGCACTGAAATCTAGGTGCTATCACCTTGAGGTTCTAGTAAAAGAATTGCTGGGCGTGGTGGCTCACACCTGTAATCCCAGCACTTTGGGAGGCCGAGGTGGGTGGATCATGAGGTCAAGAAATCGAGACCCTCCTGGTCAACATGGTGAAACCCTGTCTCTACCAAAAATACAAAAAATTAGCTGGGCATGGTGGCGTGTGCCTGTAGTCCCAGCTACTCGGGAGGCTGAGGCAGGAGAATTGCTTGAATCCAGAAGGCGGAGGTTGCGGTGAGCCGAGATCGCACCATTGCACTTTAGCCTGGGTAACAGGAGTTAAACTCCATCTCAAAAAAAAAAAAAAAAAAAGAATCGCTGTATGAAGGGTTCTTAGGAAGAGGAGGTGGATGGCCTGACTTGGGGTGGGGCTCCAAGAGGAGTGTCTGTGGTGCTGTACAGAAGCCTGCTGCACAACCTCCCTGGTTCTCTTGCTCAGTCTTCTAGCCAGACCCCAGGAGTCTCTGCCCTGTGTGCCCTGGAAGCTCAGTCAGATGAGCCAAGGCATCTTTAGCTGGGACTCATCCCTGGGCATTTTTGTGGCTTTGGGCACCCTGGGCTTCTCCAGACCTTGTCCTGCAAGCAACTGTCCTGCAGGGGGAGTCGGGGGAAGGAGGCTACTTGTCACTGAACTGTGGGGGACCACAAGGTCCTGACTTGGGTCCTAGTCACTTGCAAACCTATGCATCCCCATCCTATCCCACAAATGATGAAAAGAAACTTTGCCAGGAGTCACATAAGACAAATAGGGTGGGGCCTTTTTATAGAGTCTAGTTTTTAGACCATCAATAAGAGATGGAAACCACCTGCAGGAAGGTGCCACGCTGGGAACGTGGGTGGCAGGTAGCAGTCACTCCACTGTCAGGGTGAATCCCGGTCCTCACACACCCTTTCTCCTCCCCCCTCCTTGTCTTTTTTCTCCTGTCTGCTCTTTCCCCTTTTTTCCCAAACTCAAAACACTTGGTAAGCTTGGACAGTTTCAGAACTGGAGAGATTTGGCCACGACATTTTTCAGGCTAGGAAGGTCCCCCAGAACTATTGCCTAATTTTTTTGTGTTTATTAGAAGAGAACAAAAGAGCTTTCATCTGATCTGGTCCTAAGTCTTCTTGAGTCTGAGCAGGAAGGAGGAGGATGCCCAGGGTCCTGGACTTGCCCCTCCCAGCTGCTCAGCTCCTCTCGATTCACTGTGAGAGAGCTTGCCTGGAATGGGGAACCCATGGTCTCCACAGAGGCTGGGATCCCAGGTTCATATCTAAATACTGGCTGATTCAGGAGTCTAAGGGAGGCAATTTTCTGGAGAGAGGTGTCAGGATGTGGGACAAAAGCAGCATCTAGTCGCTGTCCACAGAGACCTCAAGGACAGGAATCCACTGGTTCCCAATTGGAGGGGATCCCATGAAAATGAAATGAAACCTGCACATTAGTACTAGACTGAAGACAGGAGATTAAAAACTGCACCATCTGAAGGGATGAAGGAATTAGGAAATCTGGAAGTGAAGTTTCTTATATTAGTTGTTTCTTCCAAAGAGACACAGGGCAACAGTTCAATGACATGAGTAAAAGGAATCTCAGGGCTTGGGATTGAGTGGTGGCAGCCTCTTTAGCAGAGGAGACCTCTCACCTGAAGGCCCAGGGTTGCCCTGAGAGGGGAAGGGTCTTCAGTAGCACGTGGCTGGCAGCCTGGAGAGTCTGTGAAATTGCAGCAATTTTCCTGTGGCCCAGGCCACTGTAAGAACCCAGTTTGTGTGACCCTCAACACCAAGGAGGGTATTGGAGACCTGCAGCGCTGAGCCTCTGAACTTCAGTGGAATCCACATTCCATTTAGGGAGCAATAGAGAGCAACATCATCGTAATTATACAGAAAGGTCCCCTGAGACTTGAAGTCTGATTGCTGTGTTCAGAGTCCAAAGAGCTCACCATTACACCATGGAGGCTCACATTAGTGCGGAACCTCACACTAGCTCATTACTGGAGGTCACATTTAGCAACCATAGTTCCCACGCACCTATGTTAAGGCATTTCTTCTGATCCCTCAAGCAACACTCAAGGAAGGTGGACCTGCAAGGGAGGAGTGGTCCCTCTTCTTTGTCTCTGCCCTCTCCTTGGATCAACTTTTATCATTTCATTTGCACATCAGAAAATAAGGCAAACTCCACTCTATTCTTAGGGCCAG